GTCTTACAGTATTGAGAACATGATTGTTAAAATGTAAATTTTTCTCATTTCAGAAGGGATTTTATCGGCCATCAACAAGAATGTCACTCTTCAAAATGGAGATAACACAAAAGCAGGGGAGTTTGACGATTTGATTTCGGCTTTGAGGACGGGCGACGTTTTCGGCGAAGATGTTGCCAAATTTAAAAGAAGTAGGAAGAATCGAATGCATTCAGGAAGCTCGCCGCCGCGCAGAAATAGCGTAAACAGGGAAGATAGTAGGGAAAGAGTGGTGATAAATGTGACCACAGGAAGAATACAATAGTAAACATGATAAGTTATCATGCATTTATTGTGTAATTACAGGGTGACAATAAAAACATTACCTCTAAGAAACACTTCATAAAATATTTATTTTTCAATAAAAAGAAAATTGATCAACAAATAACAATCACCCACTATTTTTGACTACAACATAGCCGCTTCGAAGTGGCCTCCTTGCGCGTCTCGGCAGAGTTTGATGCTCTGCCGTGCCACGCTCTTTTTCCGGCGACAAACGGTACCATCCCCGACGCAGCGTCCGCTGGTCTCCAAAATAGACCACACCCTATAGTCGATCGGACTGAGATCTGGCAAGTAGAGCGGCGATCCTGTTGACGAAATAAAATCCGGAAAGTGGGTCCGACGCTGGTCCTGAGTCGCTGTCGCCTTGTGGGCCGGAGCGGAGTCCTGTTGGAAAGTCCAATCCGCATCGCAAAGTGCTGCTGAACCCACGAAAGTAGGACGACTTTGCGGATGCCACGGTGGTAGACGTCCTTGTTGATTTTGACAACCAGTTCCACGAAAACGTGGCTGGTTTTGCCAATGGCGCAAATTTACGAAGGATTTTGGCGATTTTCAACCATGATCGACGTGCCATTGGCGCTCCGCGGACCTGGTGATTGTGGGCTGGTTCAACTGAACAACTTCTCATCCATGAAGAGGAGTTTGTCCCACTGAAGAGGAGCGTGGCGACGAAAAAGTTGTTTGCATCTTTCAAGCCGTAAGCGATTGTTATCGTCGGTGAGGAGCTCAACTTTTGGAGGTTGTAGGGCCTGAGATGGAGATCCTCTTGGGCTCTTTGGCAGATTGATTCCTGATTGATACCAGTCTCACGCGCAATATTTCTGATCGAGACTCTAGGATTTTGCCTGACACGTTCTCGGGCGAGCTCCCGGTTCTTGACGGTTCTTATCGTGCGCTTTCTGCCACTTCCTGGACGCCAAACAGTATGGCTGAGTTCTTCAAACCTCTTGATGGTTTGTTGGACGTTCGATTTTTCGATGACGAGAGCTTGCGTTATATCGATCGGACGCTTTTTCTCTTAGGTTTGACATCTTAATAAAGTTGATTAAAAGTTTTGAATACAATTGAAACAGAACATATTTGTAGTGTTTTTAACAGCAAATCAAATAAAGACAACATTTTTTATTGTCACTCCGTACTTCAGAAATATCTTGAGCTTTAAAACGTGTAAACATTTTGCTATTGACGTTTACTAGTTAGCATCGTACACACTAGTCGATATGGAAAAAGTCTAAATTATTATAAATATTTATTTTCATATTTTATTACTTCTACTTTAAGTTTTATACTACCTATCTGTCGCTCATACATGATGCAAACTTGTTTTTATTTCACTTGGTCCTTGCGTTTAGAAACTTGTATATTGTGTTAATGTGATTTTTTAAATATAATGCTCAGTTAAGATATTTCCTTGTAAAAAATGTTTCCATAGGTTTTAATAGATTGTGAATTGTTTATGTAAGGTTAGCTCTAGCGACAGAACAACTTAATTATTCAGCATAGGCAGCAGGCAATTTAATTGCGGTGTGACCAATATTTTCGAATCGTATTATTGTATATGAATGAATGTAAATGTTGCAACAACGCTGCATTGTTTTCTAATTCTTTTGTAGGAGATTTTCAAATTTGTAAGTTTTGTATTAGTGGACATAATTGTCACGGAAATAACACCAGTCTCAAACGTGAGAATAGTAAGAAAAATTGAGTTTTATTTTACGGCAACCCTCTATTTTACATCCTCTTTAAGTTAATAAAGTTTGCTTATTTATTGAACTGTGGGGTAGATTCTAGACAGTTTCTGCACTGTATCGCAAAATCGCGAGTTCAATTCTTTCGATGTGGGCGCTGCGAGACGCCGCAAACAAATGAGAAAGTGTTAAGCAAAATTCCACGAGTTGCATAATTGATAAATTAGAGTTACCTACTATATTATAACCTTACCGATTATTTGCATTGTACGCCTGCATGTAAAGCCTTAAAATTGAAGCAATTTCTCACAAATCCCTGCAACCTTGCAACGGTCATTGGAAAAACTCGCGTTCCAAGCCAAACCACATATATCCATACATACATGTCTGATTTGCGCAAAATCCCATTAGTCCAAAGCAGCCAACGGGGTTTAAAAAAATGCATGCACGTGACCCATCAGTTCACACTTCTTAGCTCTCCTCTTCAGCTGATTATTTAGAATTCTCTCCCTCTCGGTGCTATCTACATGACAATCTGGCGGAACCTTCCTCAACTCTGCTGCGCGGAACAGCTGCTCCACTCCCAGTCCAGTCCGAGTTATTATGTTTCGCAGCCATGATAGCTTTTTGCGGCCTATCCATCTTCTGCCCCCGCTCTTTCCCTGGATGATCAATAGTAGCTGACCTTTCTTCCTTCTATAGTATAGGAGTTCGCAAACTGTGTCTAGCTGTCCGAGAACCTTTTCAGGCACCTGCCTGGTGTTTAGTCCAAAAGATTTTCAAGACTCTCCGATAACACCACATTTTAAGGGTTTCTCTTTTATTGATGGTGTCGATCTTAAGCGTCCATGTCTCACGTCCGTACAGAAGAATGTTCCATATGTAACCGCGAAGTGTTCTTAGCCGCTTTGTACTGTAAGGCTTCTGTTGGTAAGAGTGCTTTTGCATTTACCAAATGCCCAGCGTGCCATTTCAATTTTTACTAC